CCTGCTCCCCCTTCTCCCCCTGCTCCTCCTGCTCCCCCTGCTCCTCCTGCTCCTCCTGCTGGATGAATTTGAATAGATCACAGAAACCGCCTCACGCTCATTGGTTCCCACTGAATAATCCCCTGCGCTCCTTCCTGTCACTCAGCGGATCTCCGGCGTATGATTGGCTCTCTGTGCAGGGGGCGGGCTCTCGCTGTGGACTATATATGGGTTGAGGGTTCGTTGCCCGTGCCAATGCTCGTAGGCTCAGTCAGGAGGAGGACGAGTGTCCGATGTGTCTCCACAGACCTGAAGCTCTCTCCTCCAGCACCACCTCTTCCACACACCCGCGGACAGGCGCCCCTCTCCCGGACGGGCGCTGGGGGCGGGCCGCTGGTCAGCATGGAGCGCGCCGCGGACGCGCAGAGCCTGATCTCCATGTCTCTGCTGAAGATCCAGAACTCGCGCACGCAGAGAGGAGGCATCAAGCTGCACCGGAACCTGCTGGTGTCCTACGTGCTGCGCAACGCGCGGCAGCTCTACATCAAGGAGAAGTACGCGGAGCTGTACCGGATGCAGCAGTACGAGGAGGTGATGACGGTCTGCAACGAGATCCAGGAGCTCGACCCGCTGGACGTGGACTCGGAGGACGCGCACGGAGAGGAGCAGGCGCGAGGCTGCGGCGAGGACACGAATCCGTGCGAGGCGGCGCGCCACCGAGGCGCGGCGCACGTCCGGGCAGCGAGCTCCCTCCTCGGCTGCTGTCCTTTCCAAGACGGCGGCAAAGAACCGGAGCCGTCGGACTTCCGCAGCTGCTGCATGGAGGCTTCCCCCGGGGCTACCTTCGGCCAGTTCTCCGCGGACAACAACCGGCACTGCAACAAAACCACGGTGCTGGACCTGGACACGCATGTGGTGACCACCGTGGAGAACGGGTTCCTGCACCAGGACTGCTGCTGTGACGCGCTCCAGTGCGCTCAGGGCGCACAGGCTCCGGCCAGGAAGAGGAAGGTGGAGTCCGGCTGCTGCGCCTCGGACCTGGAGGAGCTGAGCGACTTCACTGCGGCGCGTAAAAGAGCCAAGCGCGAGGTCTGTTCCTTCTCCAGCGCGGACTACACGGACACTTCCAACATCTCCAACCTCATCTCCATCTTCGGGTCGGGGTTTTCTGGGCTGCTGAGCCGGCAGGCGGACCTGGAGCAGATCTGTAGCAAACAGGCCTTGGCCAGTCTGGGCGCATGGACCCGGGCCATAGTAGCTTTTTAACTCCAACACCTTATTCTGACGAGAGACAGACAGAGAGACAGAGAGACAGAGAGAGAGACAGACAGACTGGAATCAGCTGCGTTTACACTGAATCAGTGAATCAAACCATCATCTCAGATCTGGTTTGAAAACATCAGGTCATAATCCTGAAAGTTAACAAAGAACAAACAGGTTTTTACAACTTTCAGCAAATGTTCTGTGGAGATTAGTTATTTTGAGAATGAGCTCACATGAACTGATGAATGTTCTCGACAGGATTTTGTTAAAGCAACAGAATATATTTCGTTTCTGTGATGTGAAGAAATGTTCTTTCAACTGTTCCTGCATCAAACCACAACTTTCCTGGAAGGTTGGTGGAACTTTACACTTTCATCAAAATCAGAAATCTGAGTAAATCATCCAGTTTGAAAACAAGAATCAGGTTTTGTACTAAAACTGAAGTGTAAAGAAAATGTAAGAAGATTAAAGTCATTGTTGAACATTTTCAATGTTCTTCATTGTGAATTTTAAACATTGAGCTGAAGTTTCAAATATTTCTCTGGTTCATCTTCTGATCGTTCACGTTAAACCCAGAATCTCACCTGGAGTCTCAGTTTGGTGATTGGTTGGTTTCTGAGCGATGACATCACTCACCCTCTCCTCTGATTGGAGGAAATGTACAGCTGGCTCGGTCTCCTTCAGAATGAGACAAATAGATCAACTTTATTTTTGCAAGAAAAGATACAAACTATTTAAAATGTTTAATGTGGAGAGTTTGTGCCGTATTGTACCAGACTTCCTGTTTGTTTGACAGGAACTTGAATCTGATGCTCATGTCACAAGTGAACCACGTGACGTTCACTTCCTGAACACCTGAGGTACATGATGGACGCCACCAGCTCGCCTCAGTGAACCTTTAACATCGTCCTCTCTTAATCGTGGCTGTTGCTCAGAGCGACGCATCCATCATGACACCAACACGTTTGAACTTTTGGTTTCATATAAAGGAAGTTGGATCCTTTTGTTTTAAAAAGGCAAACATGTGACTCCATTAGCTTTATGAGCCCACTCAGCCATTCTCCACTTATCCTCCTCTTATTCTTCTATTTTTTTATTGGTATTTTGTGTGTTTGATAAATTGTAGCTCTCCGGTTAAAACTGTTGCAGAAAATATTTGTAAAAAATTTATAATCTTAATAAAAAAAGAAAAATTTAAACCGAGTTTGTCTGATTGTGTCATTTTCTAAATTAACTCTTCATTGTTAGTTCATCAATCTTTAAAGTTTCCTGAGAACAAACGTCTTTGGATGATCAACGTGAAAAAGAACTTGAACAGTTTGGGAGATTTTTCATTTTCTGGAGAGAGAGAGATTTGAGGAGGAAGCCACAAGCTTGTTAGCTTAGCTTAGCCCTTTAGCTTACGATGGGAAACAGTACGAAGATAAAAGATGAGATAATACAACACATGAGTTATTTACAGTGTTAAAAATTAATTGATATTAACAGGTAACACTCCTTTTGTTTCTTTATTTCTCCCATGATGCAGCAGCTGTGACTGAGCCTCCTCCTCAACCTCCTCCTCTTTGTACTCTTCTTCTCTCTCCCCTTCTCCTCTCTTCCTCCTCCTCCTCCTCTCTCTCCTCCTCATCAGCTGATCCACAGTGAAGGACAATACCAGGTGGAGACATGGGGGCATGTTGACCACACCCCCAGCATAGTCATAGTTAAAAAGAGCGGTTCTAATTTGCATACTCTAAAACTACACCACGCCCCATTTCCCGTACAAGTCACATGTTTATCTCATTTAAATAATTTAGATAATAATTTACATACTAATTAACATAATGTTGAATTAAACAGCCTCATACACTTGTCACTCCCATAGACCACGCCCCTATTTGAAAAGTCACAGAACCAGGACACGCCCCTTATTGAATTTTAAACAGTTGAACAGACAAACTGAAAACTGGGTCACTCTGCTTTTTACATAACATATATATATAAATATATATATATATATATGTATATCTACAAACATATACATTCAATAAATGACTTGAGTGGTGTCAAAAGAAAAAAAACATTTAAATGAACAACTGGTTTAATTTATAATAATAGAATTTTAGTTTGACCTAAAAATAAACTACAGCCTTTAAGTTTATCTATTTGCTTAGTGTTTATATGACTTTACTTCCTGTGATGTTGTGAAGTGAATGTTTGACATCTGGTGAAGTAGAATGATGAGGTGGCATCAAACAACATAGTAGAAGTACCTTCAAACATAGTACTGAAGTAAATGTACTTGGTTACTTTCCACCCTGCCTCCACTGAACCGCCCTTCAGGCCCAGACGTGTCAGAGCCGGTCGACAGTCGTCTCATTCCAAACATTCTTACTTTTCTCCTCAGTTTTCACCCAAAACATCACAACTGAAAGTTTCCATCCTCAGAATCCCGGAGAACACGTCACAGGTTTGATGTTTCTGTCTGGTAGAACGTAATGATTGTTAAGCTGTTGGTAAATCCACAGATTTGCTTGTGAGAACACGTACAAAGTTCCTCATGTTGTGTTGAGCAACATGTTTAGAAACAAACTGTAAAGTTGATGTCATTTTCAGCAGAGCAGTTCTAGTTATATATTTACCACCGACTGAAAATCAAGACACGATCACATGAATGCACCAGAGATTTTCCTCTCTTGTTTTCAGACCCAAAAACATCCAGAAAATGACGTCCAGTGACAACAACAGGAAAATGACGAGAACCTTTAGAGCAGCGGTGTGAACGTGTCTCCATCAGATCCATCGTTAACTTACTGGTTCAGTGTGAAGGAGTTAGTGTGTCGTACACCAAAGATCAGTGTTGGTGTTTACAGCTCGTCCACGCCGGCGTCGGCCCTCATCACCGAAACATCTGGAACCTCCTCGTCTTTCCAAGTTGACGTCTTCGTCTTCTACGTGAACGGCTCCTCTTCTTCATCCTGAGACATTTGTGTTCTTCAGTTTCATGTCCGTCACGTGTTAGAAACCTCAGAAGGGGAATATATCTGTTGAAAAAATATCTGCAGTCACGTAGACAAGACATTAATTCTTAATTTAGAGGAGGAAATGTCCTTATTTAAAGATGGTGGATTTATTGGTCGGTAGAAAGTGAGTAAAACAACTTCACGGAATAAAAGATCAGAAATTTATTAAATTAGGTTTGGCAGATCAAATCAATGACACAAACTGCTTTTTAAAAGAGGCCAATGGGAACAGAGTTTAAACTGGAGTCAAAGTTTGAGGGAAAAAAGCTGCACAGCTCAAAACAAGAATTTATTCAAGTATGGTTTTTTTAATTTACAGTGTTTACCACAACTGAACTAATAAAAATAAAGTGGGGGAATTAAAATACGGGAAATTAAAACATTTTGTGTTTGAAAATAAAACCAAGAATGTTGCTGAAAAGAACTTGAAAAGAAATTATTCACAAAGAATTTGGATCCTAATCGTCTCTGAAAGAACGTGTTTATCATGAGGATCCAGACTTTGAGGTAAGTTCAAGCGTGAAGCATCAATGAAAACAGAGTCACCACATCCACTGCATTTTATAATAAGATTTCACCAGCACACGCGTGTTTGCGTGTTGGACGACGGGTGCTGGATTTTTGCTACTGTTGTATTTGCACGTGAGGAGAAAAAAAGAGGGAAAATGTTGGTTGGTGGTTTTGGTCTTTTCATCGTGTGCATGGTGTCCGTCACAGTTATGGGTTCACCGGCTGGATGGAGAGCAAGGTTCCGAACTTAAAGTGTTGGATCACAGGGAACTTCTCTAAACACTGGAACAGAGAAAAGACAGAAGATGACTGAGAACTCGGATCAGTTCGTCTTAACTATGACTGTAAACAAACATGGACGACATGACGGCTCCCGCCCCGGTGGCTGGCTGCAGTAAAAGTCATAAACCTCCTCCATGTTAGCAGATGGGTAGAAGTACATGTTAAATAGAATAGTATCATTTTAAAAAGTTCTTTTCACAATGATGTATGTTCAACTAGTTTTGGTGTAAAAGAGGTGGAACTTCGCTGACTGTGTTTGAATTATTTAATCTACGATTAGAAAGAAATGTTTAAAAAAATACAATTAAAACATTTCCTTCCAACTTTACAGCTTTTTATTTTTCAGTGTTCTGTGAGTTAACCTCGACCTAAAGGGAGCGTTGTCTTCAAAATGGCCGTGGACCAGGGGAGGCCCTGTGTGAATATTGACACGGACCCAGTTAGGGGAGCGGGGGGGGGGTGGGGGGTGTCTGGAGTGGGGGGTGGGGTGGAGCTGGAGTCTCACAGTCTGTGTGTGGTGACATGATCGTGATCATCTGGACAGATTTAGGCTGTAAACTGAACTTTAGTGTGAAAAGATATTTGATCCATGTTAAACCAGATCACACATCAACTCTTCATGCTAAGGAACCAATGAGCAGCCTTTGTGGTTTAACACGTATGTGTCCGTCAGGAGAAGAAACTGGTCGAAATGTATTAACATTGCTAAATATATATATATATATAAATATATATATATATATATATCGGAACATGTCAGATTTTTTAACAGTTTCTTCTCTGACCCATAGAAATCCTTCCACCAAGTTCAGACTCAGTAGTTTTTGTGTGATCTCTGTGAGGTAATGATCTCCATCCTTGTTAACACCTGAAAACATTGTGAGTGTTCAGGTCTCACGTTTACCTTCTCACTCGCTCTGGAGAGTTTCTGGACGATATTCAGAGTTCAGGTCTGAAAGCAGCTTTAGACAAATATGAAGTCAAATTAAAAACGTAAAGTATTTACTTTATTACAGAGTCTGTTTCTGTTCGCTCGCCTGCAGTGTGTAAATAAACTTGTTGAGACTTAAAAACTCGCTCATCTTTGACGACATCAGGGTCATGAATTCTTTAAAGAAAGTTTCATGTCTGTGCAAGTAGAATTTTTTACAGTGCACTGAACTGAACTCATTGAGAAGAGGTGAAACATGAGTTCTGGTAAAAAGACAGAGATGGTTGAAGTGTTAGATTATAGTTTGGTGTCTAGAATATATAACACGTCCATGATGCAGCTTTGTTTCCCTGTTTCTCTTTCACACATTCACACGACTGGACATCGACTCAGACAGAAAACGAAGGATTCTGCTGTTTCTAGGTCTGTCGGCCTGAAACCCTGTGTGGGGCCAGGAAAAGGGGGAGAGGAATGTGAGTCTGCTGATGGTTGCTCCAGGCTCGGAGGAAGGTCGGGAGAGGGAGAGGGAGAGAGAGAGAGCGAGGGGAGGATTTAATGAAGAGAACGGCAGAGAGAGGGGGAGGTGGGGGGAGGCAGACAGCTTGGCCCCTCAGTTCTTTGGGAAGACTCGCAGGCTGCTCTGGAAAACACAGGATGTGGGCATGCAGGCAGGGAAAGAACGAGCTTAGACATCCCCCCAACCCCACCCTTCCACCCCCAACCCCACCCCTCCACCGCCTCACACACAATTCCATTCTCGGCGCTCCTCGTTTAACCCTTTCCTGCCTCTCTCTCCTCTGTGGCGTCAGAAAGGGCGTTTGGCTCTAACACTGGTCACAGTTTGCGTTCAGCACAAACCTGATTTCTTAAATGTCAAGTAAACAAGAAAACAGTTTCTGTAATGAGGGGGAAGGATTACAAGGAACTGACACAGCTACGTTCTGTGTTCTCCTTCCTCCACCATGTTGGAATACACCAGCTCAGAGTGGTCACTGTGACAGCAGCCGAGCGGACAGAGGGAACGTCTTGTTGACTTTGCTCTTTGAATCCTACTTTTTAAATAAGCTACGAAAACAAATCAAAGAGTCTTACAGCCTAGATCTGAGCTAAATGCTAACACACTGACAATGCTATCATTGTCACCAGCTTACATTAGCATGCTATCATTTGCTAATCTCTAAAAACAATGTTCAAGGGTTAATCAAGAGGGAAACATGAATAGATTAAATGAGGATCCATTAATTAGACCCTTCGTGGTAGGTTCCTCAGATGCTAACTTCATGGTTCCTAGAGGACGTATCCTGCAGGTGGTGCTGGGGTGATAGCCACATTAGCAGCCAACTCACAAAGCACTTTTCCTGGTTAAACTAGACTTATATCAGTTTATAAGGATATGTACCACAGACTGTGAATGAACATGTCAGTTATCAAGAGGAAGTGTCTGCATCGCCCCCTCTTGGCTGACTGCAGTA